GACAATTATCTGACAACCTCCCTAGAGAGGAGTGTTCTGATACTTAGCCTTGTCTTCTCCCCTTCTGTTGCAAGTAGTTCCTAAAAAAACTACTGCAAATATGAACCTTATTACAAAGAAACAAAATAAAATGTGATGCTAAAATAATCGAAGCTTGATCTAATTTAAAAGAAAAATAACTAGAGTTTACGTCTAATTAACAATAAAAAAATTAAGCCGAACTAGAAGGTTGATTTAATTTAAAAGAGGAAAAAATAGACCCCTCTTATAACCACACGCTACACCAGGCGAATACGGGCCTAGGAATTGAACTCGAGCAATCCGAGATCACACAATGATACAGCCGAACCATTTGAACCGTCCATGGTGGTTATAACCTCAAGCATTTGAGGGAAGCTTTCTTTGTATCTATCGAATGAGTTTAAGCTACCAACAACAATAACAACGGCTTTTCCCCGCAAACATCTGTGGACCGACCTCGTGAGTTAACTTGATCATTAGGATTATTTTCTTTGTTAAGTAAATTATTATTATATCTTCTTGTTACTAGATTCTTACCGATTTTCTAAATGCATATTCAGTGACATCATCACGCATGATCAAACCACCTAAAGTCGATAATTTTTTCTCATTTTATTTCAACAGAAACAACTTCCGACCTCTTACAACTATGCTCAATTCTCAAGTCAATTAACATTTTTATTATTTCTTAAACTGCTTAACATTCTACCACTAACCTTGACGCCCTTTAATCTCCTTTGATATTCTCCTAAAAAACTGAATAGATGATGTATAGGGTAACAATTGCTGTACAAAATGCACAGTGTAATTATTGTCAGTTGCAGTGAATTTTTGAAAGGATAATGACACCAAAATAATTCTGAAACATGCACATTTGACATAAGTGCACTTCTTCTTTCTTCTTTGCAGCTAACGCAGGCAGGCGACGGAGATTTTTTGAATATCTAAGTTATTGGATATTATGACATCTTTCTTATCAATCAATGATAAGAATCTCTGAGGCATTCCATTGTGGATGAGAAAAATCAAATTCAAAAACCTTTAACTTGAACAACCAAGTTCCCAGCTTTTATAAATAATTTTCAGATTCCATAACGCAAATAAATTGTCATGCACATCGAGAATAAAAATCATCACATTGACAAATATTATCTAATATAATCTTCCAATCAAAAAATGTGAAATCTCGTTCCTAGTAAAGCATTAAACTTTAGCCTCTTCGCTTGATGGGTCCCAGCCAGGAGGTTTAATATTAGGCCAATCTCCGCGGCATCCTAACCTTATGTAAAGGCTTTTTTTACCTGAGATGAACAAAGAAAAATGTACCATAAATGTCAAGCGCCATGTATATGAGCGCATCATAATCAATTTGACGATTAACAAGTAAATGACGAAAATAAATAAATTCCTTTGGAACTGGCCAACGATTCTTTTTCATTTATAGGTCTTAATCACTTAAAAAAACATGTATGTAGAATAAATAGTTGAGATTGTCACACCAGTAAGCTGCTTATCTGACAATATTAGTTGTTTGAGTGCACTTAGACAAGCCTGAGCAACAAGTGTAGTATGTTCTTTGTCCCATCCACTAAATTTTACAACCACATCGGCTTTGCTGTATGCTATATTTCCTTGTTTCATATGCCTTTGAGCCTCCTCCTTTGCAGAAGCTTCATCTGCAATGAAAAAGAAGAAGGGAAAAAAAAGACAGATGGATGAAAGTTACTATATCATACATCAAAAGGTTCCGCTACTCATAAATAACAAGGAAATATTGCCACCAGAAAAAATCACTGCCCCAACATATAATAAGGGTTCCAAAATGAGGCATATATTTATCTCTTGGGATGTTCCAGGTTCCAATACAGCAGATAGTATCAAGAGGGAAGAAAAATGCTAGAAGTAATTAACTGATAAATGCTAGATCTGTATCACAAAATAGCAGTTTATGACCCTTCAAGCTGTATTTAAACCTGGAAGGATGGCTTTGATGACAAACTTCCGAAATCATAGTGAGGCTAGCTATGATTCTGTTGCATTCTAAGTTTTCTTAAGTTCTGAAAATTTACATGGTGCATAAAGAGAGCAAAATGCACTACCGAAGTATGTGGCTTAAGCACAAGTGGATAACAAGGGACAGTATGTAAATTGCATCATCTCTGATGTAAACAAAAAACGAAAAACAAAGAGACTTAAGCACAGATGCCCTGTGAAAACATAGCTACCAGCCTACCATTGTACGTGTAAACGACAACAATGTGAAATAGGTTTTATATCCAAATCTTATTTGCTGCTATATTTACTGATTTTCTGCATGCCTTGTCTAAGTTCCTTAAAAAGAACAAATTACAACAGTCATGTGTCTTTTCATCCCCCCCCCCCCCACCTATTCTACCTATATGACCTGCATTAGACAATCCAACTAGAGGGCTCAGCCTACAGTGATCAAGTTCCGTTGCCAATCCTCAAGTTTCCAATAAAACCTGGGGAATAACAGCTTGAAAGAAAGAGAGGGGAGACTTACCTGCAGCTTGAGAGTTGGACAGCCACACCGAAAATCCAGCATGGAGATGCCGCCACTTATCATGTCTTGTTGCAGCTCCATGTGGTCCTCCTAGCGTAGCTACAACTGTACGAACATGGCTGTAACATAGGAAAAAAGATAGTTCACGCTACTAGTTTTATATTTTACACAAGTATATGGTAAACGCATACCTGCTGAGACCCTCCAGTAAGGAACTTTCTGCTTCTGCAACAGAATCTGCTCCTTCAGAAATCACCCCTGGAAGTGATTACACTTTGTTAATGCACTGCAAAATAAGAATTTCTAATTGAGTTTTTTTTTAACCGAGACAGATTTTTTGGAGGTACAATAATGTAAGGATTAAAGGTAATTGATACTTAAAATAACGCAGAATGATTGACTTGATGCACGGTTCCATGTTTCTGAGCACATTCTCTAGAGGAGCTAGCACCAACTATTCTTATTTACCCTTAATAGGTTAGTGTTAACTAGGTGAAAAAGAAATATGCTAAGCAGAAAGAACAGACCAAAAATTTTAAGGATCTGACAGCTGTTACTGAGAACAAAGTGCATCCACTCCTTTGACATGGTTTTAGGGGCTGTTTGGTTGTTTTCCAAAAAAAATCGGAAATGGAAAACTCACATTTCAACTCATTTCAAGATATTTCAAGACATTTCCCGCATTTCTTTTTTTTCGCAATGAAATCACCGTCACGTCACCGCCACGTCACATAAGAAACAAATCCAGCCATGATAGTAACAATGTTTCGATTTTCATTTCTTGTGTTTGTTTGAACATAAAAAAAGGAAACGGAAATCAGCCGCAAAAGTAACAGTATTTTCAGCAATTAAATAATCTGTTTTATTCACAGTCACTGTTTCAACAGTGCTTTTAGTAATTCAAAATTCATTGAAGTGATATTTCCAAGTGTTTTCAGAGGTTTTTGGCGTAAAAACACTTTTCTAAAAAATCTGACGTGGCACCCTCATTTCTTTAAATCACAAAACGAAACAAACATGTGATTTGGAAATCGGTTGAAACCAAAATCCTACGTGGCAGGGGAGTTTCTTAAAATCTGACGTGACGGGGGTTTTCTCTTTTTTTTAGCAAACAAACAGCCCCCATAGCTGACTGATTGTTTTCACATTTAATGCCCACCTGGTCTCAACTACTGTCAAAAAGTAATCAGTGGGCTGTCCCTTTTATCTCACAGAGTTTTGGCTGCCTAGTCCTACCAAGACAGAGCGTAGACTATAATCTAGTTCAGGGACACATGCGTTTGAAATGTAACATTGAATATATGAAAGACATGCAAATTTATATTTCTCATGGTCTTATAAGGGGGGAAACCTATAGGTATACAGTTAAGAGTAAATATTCTAGTGAAATTGCATTATTTTGGATCACTGCTTTTGTGTTGTTGGGTCTACAATTTTTAAGGCCCGTCCCACTCTAAGCACAGTCAATCACACATCAGTGGCATAAATGTAATTGAGTCTAGTAGAGCTGTATATAGATTAGGAAGGCCATGAAGTTATGTAAACACATGGACGATTATTAAGGACATAGTTATTTTCTTTTACCCTGGAGGTGGCTGCCCTAGAGTACAAAGTATGAGTAACTGAAGGATAGATAACTAGATGGCATGATAATTGGCAAACATCGCATGTCCTGCTCCAGAAACAGACCCACTTCAATCCAAGCGTCTGCTACTTTTTATAATGCAATTTTTTCTGACAGAATCTCATGTAGGTCTTAATGGGCCAAGAAGCGGTTGGCAGAAAAGTTTGCAACATTGCTAGGCGACTAAGATTTTTCCGAGTCCAAATATGAAACCCGCAACACCAAGCATATACCAGATACATGTAATACATACTTCTTTCATTCAAGCTGGTAAATCTTATACATAAGAGCCATTGAGATTTTAAAAATCCCTAAGAAATGTAACATATTCTATTTTGCAGGTATTCTAATTATTCAAGTAGATGTCACTCTGTTCCCAAGATTAGCATTTTCATGTATAGTATCCACATTTATATGCTCCTACTGTCAAGAAAATAAAGTGACTAGCTTCACTAAAGTAGGAAATTCGATCCAAATAAATATGTGAACCAGTTGAAGCAAAAGATGTCATGATAGAGACTGCTTCCAAAGTAAACAATGAACAAGATATAGCATTCAACTACCGGCAGCCAGATGTTTCTCAGTTTGATGCATCTACTAAAACTGGTCTAACATTATAATAGTCATCCACATTCGACTACACTCACATGAATTTATGGACTGCTGAGTATAGCTTTCTAGCAATTCACTCGTACTAAACGGGGTGTACCTGCAAACCGTCAAAAAAAATGGGAGAACATTAAGGACTTCTACATAAAATTAATTTTCTAAGGGACGTTTATTTTCAGGGTTAGCATTACTTAAGAGCTTAAAAAAGAAATATTTGACTTGTCAGACAATTAGTTTTTCAATCTGGAGAACGCTCTAATGGCACTTCAAGCAATAAATGAAGATGATAATACAATTTCATTTCATGCCTCCACTTTTGTAACTCCAGCTTGTATTTAAGATGTACATATCATTAACTATGTATCATCGATATGTTTTACCTAGACACAACCTCCTGCCAGGTTTCTCGGATGTTTCCCATGTTGGAGACTTCAAAACACTCGAAACATTTGGACATGTTTCATACGCATTTAACATTATAAAAAACTTTTGAACAACTAAATCTAATATGGACATTGCTTCTTTCTTTTTCCAATACTGATGTTACTGTTCAGAGAGAAATGCTATCACCAGATTCACTATATAAAGCACAAAGAAAAAATATATATACTGTTATAAAGTATAAATCACGAAGTTATATATTTCCTTATTCCCTCAGCTTATAAAGAAGATGTTCTCTACTGAACGCCACTGCCGGTCAGTTTTGGCTATTCAATATCAATAATGTTTCAACATTGGATGTATGAAGTAGTAACTCCTACCCTCCCTAATTCCCTGATATATATAATGAAATCAAAAGGCAAACAAAAGATTACTTAATGATCAGCATTATTAATATATTTAATTGTCAAGTCTGTACATTAAACCGGCCTCATACCATCTGAAACTAATATTGATTGTCAAAAGAAAAGGTTGCATACCCGAGACCAATAGCAAGTTCTCTAGCGACTTCTTGATTCATTTCTGTGGAATCTCCAATAACATAAATTGATGTTCCCTTTAAAAGTTGCATCATTCCTGATTTAAGGGATTCCCAAGATTCCATGAGGTCAGGCCATTTCAGCTCCGTGTCATACTTTTTCAGATTGATGACCAGTTGATCCTCATCTAGGTACCTATTACGTAGCAACAGGCAACAAAGTGAGTACTGGTTTAGGCTAAATGTAAGACATAAAAAATCTTAACAATTGCAGCAGTTGTTGCCATCTGTGTCTTTCTTTTGAATATTAACACAAACCATATAGTTTCACCAGGTTTGACCCTGTCAAAAAGGCGACAGCTTTCCATCAGAGGTATGAGTCTTTCAGAGGCCTTTACTCTAACAAGTAATGAAGATTCGTCTGCATCCACAAAAATATCACTGGTACTCTGGATATCAAGCGTTCCAATATCTAGTCTCAGTTCCACTTCTGTATCAGCATCAGAAAACTGCATAGGGTTCGTATGCATACTAAGTGAATTTGCATTGGACGTTCAAAATGAATGTTGATCAAGGGACATTGAAATGTTAGGAGGCTTTGCAGTTATTGGTATTGTGGATTTACAAAATTTGATACATCTAACACAAATGAATTTCAGAATAACATGGTCCCAGAATGCTGAAGCCATCCCTAGAGATAGAGCAAACTTGTCCCAGTACAGATGTAGGATTTAACACTTCACAAACAGGACTCACTAACATGGAGATATATTTGAAGATTTTGGTCATGAACCTTGGCATTTATTGAACCATCCTTCTTGTCTTACTAAGGCATCTAGGGTATATCTTGAAAATAACTGTTTTATTCACGTGATCTTGTTGTATCTCAGAGTATACTGAGATAACTTTGAACTTAGCCATCTGTATAAGTGTGCTATTGAAATATGTTGTAGAAGCTGCAGTAGTGGGATTTTGCTCCCATGAGATCCCAATAAAAAATAGAAACAGTATGCAGTAAAATTCATCTGCAAGCAGAAAGAGGACGAAATACAGGTATGGGGTACTGTCGAGATCAACCTATGTTCAAAGGCAACAACGGATGCACTACACAAAAGGGGGATATTATCAAAAGACTCGCTCCAAGTTTACATCCAAAACGCACAAAGTGGAAATTTTTGAATGCTCAAAAGATAAAGGAGAGTCTCAAATGACCACAAAGCACACTCTCTCTAGTCTACTTCTCCTTCTCATTTTCCTACAGCAAAGAAAAACATACCATGCCTCACATTGACAACCAACCCAGATCTCATCTTATTCACATGTTAAAGGTTGCCAGTGAACTTAACTATCACTAATTATAATATCGGTATAAGTAACAGGAGGTATGCAACTTAAGCCATCACGCTTCATCATGTATTAAAAAACAAATAAAAACAATCTTTATGTATTTGTCATATTGTATTCAAGTCATACAATAAATCTCCTCGTAGGCTTGAGTATAATCAAACCTTGGTCCTGTTTTGTACTCTCCAGAAATTCCTAGCAGGCTCAACTTCTGTGTCTCAAAGTCAAAGCAACTTAACGCGATGCTCGAACCTTCTTTTGTTGGATATTTATTAAGAAAAGGCAATTTTGCCTGTGTTTTAGTCCCACATCGGAAAATTAAAAAGAATCCTCTCTCCCTCAACCCTATAAATACACCCTTATTCACATTCTAAAAGATAAGAAAAAAGGTTTTCTCCTCTCCTCTGGTTTAAAGAAAATTGTTTTTTCCCTCTATAAATTTTGTTATTAATTTTTTGGGCAATCTTCTTCATCTGAGCTGAAGCTCTGTACTCTCGCCCGAGTACGGAGGTCGGCCGTTTCCGGGGGCTTTTACCGTTAGGGGGGAGAGAACCATTTGTGCCAGGGTGATAGGCGGGTTCTCAATCTTCTAGGGCAGTGAATACACGACTGCTCCCGTCAAGCCAGATTTAATTGTTTATTTTATTCGGATTTATTTCATGCTATAATTTTAATTATTTGATGAATTTCCAACATCTTTAACGTATGAGCTTTGTTACCATATCTACAGCATTATTTACAATACCAGCTTTCTCAATTTTCATATCCTTAGTATCTCAAGTGAAATGATATCTAACATGCATTTTTCCAAACCTTTCGTAGCACATTATACTTAATCGAACATACCATACTATGGTTGTCATACAGCATAGTACCCATGCCTTGGTTAAGCAATCACTTAAAGAACTCTCAACTAAATAACTTGATCCTCTCTCATCATTGCTTCTGCCCATTGTGTTGTACTTTTTTCTTTGTAGTGGACAAAGAAACCATTGATCAAAGACGACCTTCCAAAGAATGAAAGAACCAGAATGATTGATGATGGATATTATACATCTGCCAAATTACTAATAAAATCTGCATTTGGGTAATAATATCGACAAGTATCAGGCAGTGACACATGTAAGGCACTTGAAAGTTGTCTGATACGTATTAGACACACCGGAGCATTATCGAATCTAGAAATTGCAAAGGACGCCATGTCAGCACCGTGAGGGCTCAACAAAGTTATTGAAAAGTTATTGCTCAGTCTCCAGATTTAGGTACCGCTATCACAAATATCAGTTGGGAGGAGCTCCAGCAAAGACGGTAGATTCATTCGGCACATGCGAATATATGACATTTAAAATAAAAAGGTCCATGACAACGAGTTACTGATTAGATTATATTTCACAAGTGCAAGATGGCTACTTCGTAAGTCGAATTATTCGCTTCTCAGTTAGTAAGCACACATTATAAGACTGCATTTGTTAACAGGGCCAGAAGAAAGCCCTAATTTCGCGATTGATAGAACAATTCGAACTTCAAAGCACGCTAATTCACGTAACTCAATCCATCAACAGGTAATCTCAACTCAAGAAGAAAGAAAAGACTTCAAATTTACCTCGTAATTTCTCGTTTTTTCAGGAATTGAAGAGATATTTCCGTTGGAAACCAATCTGAGCCTCCCTCGGTAAGATGAAAGGATCTTACTACTGAAAGAGACAAGAGATGGTTGAGTCTGGAGCTTGGAGATGTCTTTGGATGAGAGATCGGGGCTAAAGATAGGTTTTTGCTGGGTTCTCAATTTTAGGGTTTTGTTAGGGTTTGGCGGAAAGAGGCGAAGAGAGTGGAGCAGATGAGCTGCCATCGGGGGATTTTTTTTTTTTTTTTTTTTTTGGCCCCCTCCTTTTTTTTTTTTTTTTTTTTTTTTTGGCCCCCTCCTTCTTCTTTCTTTTTCCGGAGGTTTTGGACCTTTTGGGGAGATAAGAAGGAACCCTTGAGGGGGAGCGAAAGCCCGGTTTTTTTTGGGATTGTTTTGCACTTTGGTCCTCTAATAAGAAACCTTTTGCCTAACGGCCTCTCCAGAACAAATGGTGCTTGTCGATATTTGGCTCGTGAACATGGGTCAAGAACTATTTATTGTATCTTGGGCTCGTTCAAGGTGAAGCCCATTCGTCCCTTTAGGCTCACTGACAAGGTGTAACCCATTCGCCCTTTTAGGCTCACTGACATGCTGAAGCCCATTTGTCCTTCTAGGCTCACTGACATGGAGATGTTTTGATGTAGCCCACTTTAGCATATAATAACTTATGCCTCAATGGAAATAGGATGGAATACTGTCTTTTATCTTGATTGATATTTTAATGGAACTAGGTGCGTGCACGTGCATTGCACGTGTTTCCATTTTCTTATTATCATGCGCTGATAATTTTATGTACCTAATGTATTTTTTTTATTATATTTCAAATTAGTTTGATTTGCAATCGATAATTTATTAGATATCAAATCAAATTTCTCGGTCATAAGTTTATAAATTCTATTTAGGATAAATTCAGCAAACGCGTGCTAATAAACTTTCGAATATTTAAAATATCACGAAACCTCTTTCGGGGTTTCTCAGGAAAACTCTTTCAACTTTTAACATTTTTAAAAAAAAACCTTAAAAGCATGAAATACAATTTTCATCGGCAAACATGTCACCCTACATAAAATTGCCTACATGTGAAAAAGAACATAGTTAGTTCTAACGCCATTAAGAAGAGTTTTCTAAAATTTGTCGAAAGTTTAAGGGGACTTACCAAGATCGCTAAAGATTAGTAGGCTTTTATGACATTTTTCGAGTTAAGTGATATAATCTAAGGAATGCCCAAATTTAAGGTGTTTTCTAAAAGGCTAAAGAGCACTTAGATGCCTTATAATTTAAGGTGTTATCTGAAAGGCTAAAGAACACTTAGGTGTCTTATAATTAACTTAGTTATTTATCAAATTATTTATTTAATTAATAATAATTAAACTTATTAATATAGAATAATTTTAGCCTCAAACTGAAAAGCTACATAAACAAGACATGAGTTTATTTTTTCTCCTTTAATTCAATGCTTGTAATCATGTAAGGAATTACCAAAAACCTCATAGTTAACAAATCCCACACGAACATAGTTTGAGACAAAAGCAAAATGCAAAAATGGATAGAAACTTTAATTATTATTTATTACATAAATCACATATTCACATCATCTCCAAAAAAGTCAAAAAAAACATTGAACACCTTAAAAATCTCAGTGCTTAACAATGTTGATGACAAAAAGAACATGAAAATTATAAATATTATGGAGAAAGAAAGATTGAGAATGCTGAAACAGCGAGGAGAAAAGCGAGCTAGATTATACTCTTTTCTTCTCTATCTAAATTTTAATTATGAATTGGAATGTTGATTGGAAAAGTGTGATAAAATTTTATTGTTATTTATAGTGATTTGGTGGGAGAGGAATAGTTGTAATATTTTTTATCATTAGTGCAAATAAATTTGTATTTAGTGTGCACCAAGAGTTAGTGGAGGAGTGTTATGAGTGATTGTTTAATTTGAAAATTAATGGCAATCAATTGAGAGGTTATAATAAATTGTATGTATGTCTTCTTCATATATGTATGCATGGATGTGCAAGCAATAGGGAGGTTATGAAAACTTGAGCATATATGCATCTTCATGTATGTATGAATGGATATGTTGGGGGACATTTCGGGAAGAAATGTTTTAACATGGCAACCCATAATAGTATTAGATTATATTGGTTTGAGAATTATAATTTTATATTCTAACAGAAACAGTTCAAGTTACATTTAGCATAAACTTGCTAAATCAACTATAATTGCTCCCTTTAGAAATATAGCCATATAGGCATAATAATGGAATAGGATTGAGCTAAACCTGGACATCAAAAGTTTCATTGTCTTAAACCCTGGCCCTGGGTTGCATACGTAAGAGGGTCTTGCTGAGTTAGTAAGTTGCCTATGGGTAGCACTCTAAGATCTTAGGTTTAGCTCTCCTAGAGAGCACCCATATGAATTTAAATTCCATGAATATTTGAGGGTATGCGTTGGGGGGTTCCTCTTCGCCACACCCGGGTTTAATACCCATGGTCTGAAAGGATAGTGGGAAAGTTCCCTTTCAAACACAAAAAAGTTCTAGGATGCGTAGAGAAGGAATAATAAAATTGTAAAGCCAAAAAGACCTAATTTCCGTAATAGGTAGCCTTTGTCGATAATCTAGTCACCACCTTGGTCAAAAATTTTAATAATAAAGCCAACCTAACTTTTTTGTTGACAAGAAAAACCTAATTAATTAGGCGGAGCTACAAACCAGAGTAGCAACCCAAGTCTGAATCCTAGGATATTCTCTCAGGCATTGCACTTCTTTCCGGATCTTAACCTAAACAAGAAAATCCCGAGTGTTGAGCAACACCTTTAATCCAATATAATGTTAAGTGAATACGAGTAGGCCTGTTCATCCAGCCCGGCCCAGCCCGAAAAATCGGGCCCGGGTCGGGAAAACCGGAGCCCCGACCTGGGCTGGTTGCCCCGGGCCCGGGTCGGGCTCCGGGCCGGCCCGGATTTTTTTACTTTTTTTTGAAAAATCTCTTTAAATTTTGAAATACACATAAAAAGTACAAGAATTGCTAATAAAAAATAATAAAATTAATAATAACTTGAAATGACATAAATTATAAATATAAAAAATTATAAAAATAAAAGATGATAAAAATAACTTCTTTATTAATAATTAATAAATCCTTTATAAGTATAAATTTATTTCGGAATTAGTCACATCATAATAGATGAGTACATCCTAACTAGGTTGGCACCTACTCACCTATATCATTATCATTTGTAACTATTTTCAAAATAATTCATTACAAATTTAAAGCTATGAAATAAAAATTATAATTTGATGAATATTGTTTAATCTTTATATTTATTTGCTAGTCCTAACTCTTCAAATTTTCTTCAATTCCAGTCATCCGATCGATGTCTTGCGTTCGCTTCTCGTACCGACACCAATCTTATAAGCACATCACCGCTTGTACAGTACACGGATCTAAGCATGTTCTGTGATCGTCGATCAAACGTCATGTTGTGCTGAAGGCGGATTCCGAAGCTACCGTTGAAACCTCTATTGTTAGTAATAAATCACGAACTATGATGGAAAGTATAAGATATGAAACTGATCAATATACTCTCCACCATTACAAAATATCTAAAGCATTTTCTTGACATTTAACTAAAGAAGCAGATAAATATTCATCTATTTCATAAACCTCTAATGATGATCCAAGTCCAGATCCACCATTTAGCTCAGCTATCATTGCATACCTATCAAACTTACACTTTTTCTCGGCTTGAGCTCGAAGGCGCCGAAGCTGTAAACTGTTGTGCAGCCGCACCATGTCTAGCTGCATACTCATCATATAAGGTTTAAAAATAATTTCTAATAGCTAAATGATGAGAAGTAGCAGTAAGGGTGGATCCATCATCTAAGTCTATAATCTGTCCACCATACAATAATTGTAACAAACTTCAAAAGCCAATATCCTTCAAACATGGATCAATAGGAACCCCAAACAAAAAAATATGAGGAATAGGCCTAAAATACTTATTAAATTTTCTCTTCATTTAAAAAATTATAGCTCCAAAAGTATCATTCATACGATATTTGGTAAAAAAATTTGAATATTTAAAATTTGTAAAGCAGCTAAAGTAATAGTTGGATAATAACAGCTAGATAAAAACATTATATCATCATAAAAAACTTGTAACGTCTCGTTTAAATTATATATAATTATTCATTCATCTTCAGTTATTCCATAAGTATTACCAGAGCTAGAATTAGAAGCATAATAATTTATAAATTTATTTATATTTTTTTTATATTCTTGTCACACTTAACATTGCATAGGTAGAATTCTACCTATGGTCAACATCTTTTGGAATTTGTTTGGGCTTATAATTTTTTTTATAAAATTATTTCCATCTTTTAAGTCTTTATTCAGAAGCATTATGCATATAAGCAACTGTTCTAACATTTTCTATTATGGGTTTAATTTCAGTAAATGCACTTTGAACAATTAAATTTAAAATATGACAGATACATCTAATATGAAAAAGATCACCATAACATGACAATGATAGAGTTGTTTTGATAAAATCAATAGGTACATTGTTATTACTTACATTATCTAGTGAAAGAGAAAATATTCTTTAATCAATTTTTAGTTTCATAAGTTCTTCAATTATTAAATTTGTAATATTAATATCAGTATGTGACTCTTCAATTGTAATAAATGTTTTTTAAATATTTGCCAATTTTTATCAATCCAGTGTGTTGTAATACATAAATAATTAGTTTGTACTCTAAATGTCCAAATATCAGAAGTTAAAGAAAATCTACAGTTTAAATTTTTAAAATAAGAATTTTTTTTTTGTTCCTCCTGATAATATTTTAAAATATCACGTTGACAGGTTTGACGAGAAAATTTTGTAAATGCGGGATAAAAACCATCTCTAAATATATCATTAAATTCATCATCTTCTACTAATTTAAAAGGAATGTTTTTAAGAATGATAAACCTGATGACACATTTCCTGGCTCGGGTAGCGTCATAATTCTAACTACCAAGACTACCAGAAGAGGAGGATTGGTAAATCATAGATTGTTGGATATCACCTTGAGAATTATGACTTTTGTTGTGTTTTTCTATATGACGTTTGAGGTGTTTGGTGCCGCTTTTTATGATGAGCTTGGAATGTTTTGTCGCACAACGCACATTTAGCCTTCTGGGTGAGGATCCTATTGTATTCATCCTTGGTGATGTCTATCTTCTCGAAAAAATTCCACACATCGAATCTCGGCTTTTTAGAATCTCTTGGTGTAGAATCGTCACCACCGGATTCGGGATTAACACCGGTGGGATTGATAGGAGTAGCTATTGTAGGAGGACTCA